CCAGGTCCGAGGAGGTTAAAGGTCAAAGTTTGGTTAAAGGGAAATCAGAGCTGTCTTCCTTTTAATTAATGTTGTTGTTGTTTGTTTTGTTTGTAGTCTTTTTAAAGTTATCATCTATTACTTGTAGCTGTATTTATGATGTATTTTGGATGAAAATGTATGTTTTATTCTAAAACGTCTGATGTGTGATTGTAGCCCAACAAGGGACAGTGGTTGAAAATTAGCAACAGCTATAAGTGTTGCATCAGCTTCATGTTTTACACCATGTTAAACTGCAGCGTCCCTTCTAAGGAAAGAAAGGCTCCGTGCGATGTGCATTCAGGGAAGCTTCCTGTCTTGGTTTTTCCACATGTTTGAATCAGTCTGGCTGTTCTCCTGCGACATGGAGACAAGGTTTCCTGCCTGTAAGGCTGTGTTGGAGCCTGTGGACACAGTGCCCATGCAGCGAGGATACTCACACACTGGTAGAACTGGCCCCTCTGGCCGCCGGTGACAAAGCGTTTGCCATCTGGGTTCCAGGCCACGCTGGTTAGGCTATCCTCGTGGGACTGACTCATCTTTGTTCGCAACTCCCCCGTCTGTGCAGTAGAGCCCAGAGCACACAGAACAGATCAGACACCAAACATACTAAACACACAGAGATCAGTTTTCTCTGATTGGTCTGTGAAAAGCTCACATTGAAAAGGAACGTCTGCAGGTCCAGTTTCACACGAACAAAGCAGCTGGTGTGGAGCAGGACTCGTTTCAGGACGCACTGATAATCAGTTAACAACCCAGCGAACTCTCACTCGCTCTCCAGCTCTTCGGTGCATAAACGCATCTCTCATGTCAGCCAGGTTTCTTGTAGGCAGCGACTCTAACAAATCCACTGTGCACAGTCAGCTTGGAGCACTGTTCACAAGTGCAGGCAATTTATTGATGTTGAGACTCTCATCATCTTTAACCCTTTAGAGCAGAAATATTCCAGGTAGCTCGGTAAACTGGCAACAGCTGCGCTCAGATGGACTGCACGGGGAAACCGTTTTACAGCGAGAGCGTGATCTCTGAACATAAAAACCCAGAAGGACTCAGGGTTTCTTCAGCTTCAGATACAACATCATTAATAGATTTAAAGAGCTGAGCTCATGTTCCCTGCACTGGTTGCTGGACTCATTATTCAGCAGGTTGCTTCATCAATTATGTCATGATGCGATGACGATGCTCAAACCCTGCATGCAAGCTTTGATCTGACCCTCAGCTGCACTCATCGTACTGCTGCTACATGAACACAGACTGTG